CTGTAGATAGATGCAAACAGAAATAATTATGGGAATTACTTGAAAGGGAGAAATGCTAGAGAATGGAGGATGCATACCAAAAGAACAGAAACTAAAGGCAACTGGCAGGATGCAGAACAATCCCAGGAGGTAGAGACAATATCTATTTTCTTGCAATTACTTTTTATAAGCCTGTCTTTATATTTAGTGAGCAAGTAAAGTTGAAAAAAGGAACATTTCCACAGGCATACCTGACCAATAAGGCTCTACATTTCTATGTTCAGACATTATGATACTTGACTTCTGCTGTCAGGGCTCAAGTTTAAAAGATACATTCAAGTTGATGTGCTATTAAAAGAGTGCCCTGTCACACAATGTAAACAAAAGTGAAAGAGATTAAGCTTGAAAGCACCATGATGACTTTGATCATCCTAAAAATGGTATGGCTTTTTAATTGGCTCTTGCTACACCCTCCCTACTTACAAACAAACTGAAAGGAAAATATGACCTTGTTGTGTTAAGATAGATTGTTCACTCACTGTCCTCTGGGGGGAGCTGTGACTCTTGTTTCTTCATCTCCTCCAGGTTTAAAGGACTGCTGGTGTTCAGCAGCTGGAGAACCTCCTCACCCGGGGACAAAGTGCTGAGACAACACACACACACAATATGTACACTCAGACAGATATCATTGAGTGTTGCAGGCAGGCATATCCACAGTGTTCATAAATATGGATGCAGAGCCACAGTCGTTACCTTGATTTAGACGCGACAGACTGTTTGAAGAAGTTTTCCGCAGATCTAGTCAGTTCTCTGTAATGAGCCGAACCGTCCATCTCGTCCTGCATTTCACAACAATGAAAGTGAACTTCAACAGTGAGAGACATGCGGAGTAAATTGCATATCTGTGCTTTTTTTGCCTAACTTAATACTCCAGGTGTGGTTAAGTTGCTACTCTTTTTCTTACCCGGAAGAAGCCATTTTTTTTCAGACTCTCCATGAAGCCTTTCCACTGAGGGTTACAGCTGACAGGAGCATCAGGCTCAGATGATGGCAGCCTGCACTTAGAGCATAGGATCTCAAAGCCATGGGCCTGGGAGAAATAATCAGAAATATTAGAAAATAGAACACACAGTCCTTGTTGCATTCTACCAAATGTCTAGTTTTATTTATCCAAAAACAGCTTGGAATAAAGAGGAAACAAATTTCATGGCTCACCAGTTTCATGCCGAGCTCATGTGCTTTGTAATGGGGGTCAGAGGGAGGAGTCAGGGTGAAGCCGCTCCTCCGGTCGGGGGTGAACTGTTGCTGCTGCAGCTGGGCGTACAGGCAGCGGGTGAATGTCACCTGAAAATACATATTCATACAAGTGAAGTAGAAGGTTAAACTTCGGGTGAAAGGTTTTCTAAGGTATTCCACAAAAGCTGAAACATACAGATGAAAAACTCAAACAGTCACTATAGTACACAACATATTACAGTACAGTATTTCAACATATTTTTCTTTCTTTTGACTCAAGTGCCACTATCATAAAGTGTGTTTACCGAGGTGAGGACTCTTGTGTGAGGAGGAAAGGTCTTGAAGCTTCGACACGCCTGCAGATCTATTGGATCCCGGAGGTAAAACGCCAACACTGCAGGAGCAATGAGGTCTGGTCGCTGCGTTAACACCATGGCGATACCTGAAGGTACGAAACAGTGGGCACGATGGAGGCTACCTTCAATCTTCTCTGGGTACCTAAGGGAAGAGTAGAGGTTGGTTTACTTTATCAATTTCGATACATTACCAGTACGTGCCGATATGTTATTTTTATCCACCTACATACAATATTTATGAGGCCGTTAACAAGCTATTCTTATGCTTCTCCAAATGTTTTATCAAATGTGTAGGAAAAACGTATGCAACACTGATATAATTTAAACATATACAAAAATCTGAGCTAATATGACCATAGGGAGCTAATGTTGCTATTTTCTTCTATAATGTACCTTATATTACAGTGATTCCCGCAGAAATGAAATATACTTTGGGGGAACGACTCGGAGCGGGGGGGGGGGGGGGGGGGGGTTTCTCAATTCCTGCATTCTAGTGAATTTTCATCGTAACACTGCACTTCAGACAACTGGTGATGGTGTCTAGGTCTTTAAGAGTTAAACAGCTGAGAGCAGTCACTGCTGTTTTTTTGTGGTCTTCTTTCACACACACATCTTACCAAGTGTGTATGAACATCCTCACAAACCAACAAAGAACATGATCTATATCAAATTTAAGACAGAAAACTCCACACTGGTATCTGATCGTCAATCACCGGATAACTTTATTTTAACTATATACAAACTGGTGAAATTTAGGAGCGGGGCTAGTCCTGGTGGGCTACCCAGGCTGAGTGACAAGGTGGCATCCAGGAAACTGAAATTTGCAGGTCACTGCCATCGACACCAGGAACTTCCAGCTGGCAAGTTAGTACTCTGGGAAAGCTCCACAGAGCTGGCCGGGTGTATGGAGGACCGTGAGGATTGGTGAACCCGTTGGCAAACTCGTCTAAGGACGACCTAGTAGTAGTAGTCCTTGATTGGCTCAAGTTCACACCTTTTTAGGGGCGGGGCTAGTGATGTTGTCCCGGGGATGCTTAGGAGTTGATAAAGGAGATAATCCCACTGACGTCATCATTTGATTCCAAAAGTGGGTCTGGACTCGCGCCCATAGAGGCTGTTTACCAGTATAACGGCTCCCCCCAAAATATAATTTATAGGTGGCTCCCCCCAAAGTATAATTTATGGTTTTTTAAGTTTTTTTTACTCACTGAGCACTCATTGCCACCAATGCAAATGCGAATGAGTGCTCACTGAGTAAAAAAAACCAAAAAACACACAAATTATACTTTGGGGGGAGCCATTATACTTTGGGGGCCCCCCAAAGTATTAACATGCTGTGGGAATCACTGTATTATTTTGATTATTTTATCATATATGGCTCGTCTCATACAGACATGGATACTAAGAATTAGATGAGAGCATCTTAGTGGAAAGATTTAGGCGAACTGTAAATGACAATGAACTTGCAACACATTTGTGTATTAAAAATCAACTTTTAAGACTCTCACCCCTCTAATCGCTTCCTCAGGGCTGAACAGACCTTGGGGCTTGCCTGACAGACCTCTCGATGTGCGGTGAGCAGCGTTGTAGCTTCTGCCACAGTTGGTACTTTATCTCTGGAGACCCCCACTGGACTGGATTTGGAGGGAGAAGGCAGAATATGCAACCCTCCCCTATATAGGAACACCTGCAAGAGAGATCAGTATAACAATGAAGGCTTTTACCTTTTACTTCTGGCTACTTAATTTAAGTCTCAAAAATCACAGGGGTTGTTCATTTATAATCCTGCTAAACAAAACATATAAGTATCATAATTGTTTGTTTGCTTAAGAGCTTGTTTACTGCTATAAACCAATGTATAAAATACAATTGTATTGCTTTTTGTGCTTAATGTATACAGTATTTGTCACATCATAAATGTATTTCCAACTCGTCTAGTTGACTCACTCTGTTTTCACTGGTGTCTGGATTCAGCCACTTCGGAAGATAATCTGCTGCTTCAATGAGAAGAAACTCTCCATCATTGTCTTCAACTCTTCACAAACAAACGTAAAAAAGACAAGAAAATAACAACATCAATTAATTTAGGTTGAAATACTGTAACATGGCAAGCCAAATATTTGGTTCTTTTTATTTAAATTTAAAAACAAAGACCACTTTTTAAATCACACCTGGCTGCAAGATCTGGGAAGGCCTCTGTGATTTGCTGCAGGAGATAAACAATAAACCACTCGTCCTCCACATTGTCCCCAAACTGAATGCTACCTCCAATGTGAGCAGGGACACCACCTGTCAATACAAAGAACATATATTAGTCTTTAGTGTAGGTACTTTTATTTGCCTCAGTTCCTTTCTAATGTTGACCAAAACGTTACCTTTCTCAGGATGATACTTGAGGTTGAATGACTGATGCTGCCAGATGTATTGTATCAGAAGTGGGGCAACCTTTGCTAAAATCTCCTCTACTAGCTGTGTGAGATGCTCTTCGGTCTGCTGTAAAGTTGAACCTTGTGGCTGGACCAGAAACAGTTTGTACTGAACCATATCCTCCTGAATCCCTCCTCTCTGAAGGGCTTCCATTGTATTCGTTTTTCGAAGACTGTATCTAGATTTCAATAAAAAGTAAGCATGAAATATTACCAATAATTAACGGCTAAATAACAGCGAAGTTAAACACAATGTATTCCTGTTGATATTCAGTACAATCTCTTGGACATGTATGTCAACCTTACCTTGTTTTTATGTAAGATATATGTAGATGAGGTCCGGATAGATTTCTATGTGGAAAAAGTATTACACTTTTGTCATTTCTACGTACGTTGCTAGCACGCCTTCTGTCAATGTTTAGGTCCCACCGCAAATTATACTCGACTACGACAAATCGTATGCCACATAATAGTTCCTACCTTACATATGACCACACGTCGTTGTACTACAGAAACTAAATAAATATACATCAAACAAAATGTACAACAACAATAAAACCGATTCCTAACAAATTAATAAAACATGAAGAATATATATAATGCTGGTTCTGAAGTTAGTCGACATACCATAATAAACCAACGACAAGCAGTTACATTTCAGGAACGCATTTACGTTGTCGACATGAATGCTGGGAATTGTAGTGAAAGTGCCAATGACCTAACGCCTATTAAGTGGTAGTCCGAAATCCATTTCCCATGAGGCAGCGGGCTTACGGAACTGCGTATCCATGACAGCCGTATTATTGTTGTTGGTGGTGCTAACATTAGCAAGACAATCTTTTGAGGTGGCGATAGCTAGCTCCACTAACATTATACTGAAGATGTAAACCTATTATTTTTTAATTGGCCAATTTATTTTAGCAAGTTTTATCTAACTGGAAATGCCTTTTGGGGAATTTCACAATGTTGCCCGTGCCTTGTTGGGGTTGTATTCGTCCGCTCATGTAACGTTAGCTAGCTTGTTTTTAGACGTAGCCTCCTCCTATTAGCTGAAGAAACAACGTTAGCATCCTTAGCCACTTCCAGCTTTCATTCACTAAGGGTGTTTATCTGCCGTCGAGAGGAGATGTCACATCCCCCTCTAAACTGTTCCCAGCGAGGCGAGGACGTGGAGGCGAGGATGAGAGACGAGGGCTTGAGCCTATAAAACGGAGACAAGGGAGGATGATTTCACGATACAACAGAAGACCTGTATCCCACAAACTTGAGATGTGAGTACGGAAAATAAAGAGTTAGAGCTGGATTATGTACTGTAGCAGTTCTCTGTAAACACGTTTTCCCAGCTGTCAGAGGCTGAGTGCTTTTATTACACACTGAAGGAAAGTGAAGGACTATCAGATGACAATGTAAAATAATATTTTTATTGATTCTAGTTCATGAAAGTCCATATGTTCCACCAAGGTCTGTCGCCTGGTTTGGACAGGATTCTTTTAAGATAACTAGGAGCAAGCTTCCTTGTTCTGTTGATGGTTTGCTTTAAACATTGTCTGCAAGACATATTTAGTACGTGTTAGGATGAGGTAGAAACCCTTAAAAACAAAAGCCCACCGAAATGAATGTGAAATATAAACATACATAAATACCAGTGTCATTAAAAAATATACAAGTATAGGAAGATGTCGATTTCTTAGAATCCTGTAAAAACCAAACCCCATCCAAGAGACAAGGACATGTCTAAATGGCATACATGTCATTTGGGGTTATTATGCAATTGTGAATTATTAACAAAATAATAACTAAAACTATAATGTAAATCTGTATTCTTACATCTTGAGGTATGTCTGCAACACTTGTATTATATTTAAAGGGATAACCCATACCTCAACAACATCCTTTATATTATTTGCTCATCTTACTTTGTTTTACTCCTGACTGGACTCAACCACTTGGAAGACAATCAGCTGCTATGTTATAATGGTGACTGTAAGCCCATCACTGACATTAAACACACCACTGTTGGCCTCTGCAATATATGATAACAATTTTGTATTACAATATTTTGAATAATGGTTTCAATCTGTCATGTTTGCAGTCGGGGGTTGTCTCGCAGCAGCCTGGACCACCACCCTCTCCCAGAGGAAGCAGACGATAACCAGACCCCTCAGCGATACCTCCATGACCTCCAGGAAGCTGTCTCCGCTCACAACAGGTAACTTCTGGCAACCCGGGCTTGTCTTTGCACAAAATAAACAATGATAACTTCAGAGTAACGCCAAGATGAAACTACTAGCAGCTAGAAAACAAACATACTCTTTATTTTAAACTCATTTTGTAATCTTACACCATCTTGAGTGGACAGCTGATTCTCAAGGCTCTCTCAATGTGAAACAAGACACCCAGAAGCAGTGGATTAATTGATGTCACATTGCCTCCTTAAGATGTGCGGTTAAAAGAATAAATGATGAGTCAGGCTGTTAGAATATTCAATTACTTTGACATTTGCCCTTTAGTTTCCACTTTGAAACCCTGCCTTTGATTATGTCATCAAGTAAGATTCAGGCATCCACATAACATAGACCTGCTTTATATGTTACATAGAGAATCCAGGTGTTTGAATATACTTGTTAAATGAATAGGGTATATGTGGAACAGAAAAGGGTTTGATGTAGAAAGAAGAGGAAGGGTTGGAAACCCCTAAATGTAACACACATTACTTCTCAAACTTGACATACACCTCACAACCTTCTTGTCATGTATACGCAGCTCAGAGACGTCGGCTGCCTCGGGACACTCTGACTGTCCCACCGTCATCTCAGTAGACTCCAACCAGTCGTGGTCAGCCATCCACAGCTCCACAGACACTGGCATCTCCACAGAGAGGAGCTCTGTTTTCTCCTGGGGCTATGATGTAAGTGTGAACCTCAGATCCCACTGATGATGACAGCATGAATGTGACTGTCACACAGAAAACATGCTCAAGCGTGCACACAGAGCATTGTTTGTTCTTCTAGCCTTGTTTCGTCGTCTATTGCAAAGATACAAAAGCAATCCACATATTTTCAGATTTTGATTCACTCAACCGTGTAGAACCGTTCACTGTATCCTAAGGTCCATGGCTTCATTGTCGGCTACTTCTTTCTATATGCAAAGCTCGTGTAGTGGCTTTTTAACCTTATCCATACACAAGCCACTGAGGGATGGGAACCGGAGAACTAAGTTCGGAAGCGTGTTCCAGATGACAAAACAATGTCCATACGAGTGTATATCTTTCAATCCATCGATCCATTTATTTTGTTGTCCATATAGCCTTTCTGTTACCATTCAGATACCAATATATGCACGCCAGTCATGCTGAATACAAACAGGTTTAACATACTGGCCGTTTCTCAATCGCGAGGATGCTGGCTTGGTAGTCGCGTACTTCCAAGTCACTTCCTTCAGAAACGAAGCAAGTATGCTTCCAAGCCACGGCTTCGGAAAACGAAGAAGAATGGAACAGGCTAACAAGTGTGCCACTCTCTCTAACGGTTTCAACATAAACTGTACCGAAAATAAATACCTCACGATGTCTATCTAATTATGAACTTGCTTTACTTTCACGGAACACATTTTTGGTGAAAACAAATGTAACAAAGTAACATATTTACCAACACATGTTCTACGCCACTACTTACATTTAAATGTGTGCTGCGTCGGTTCAGCCATTCTCTGCAAGGGTTTTTGAAATTGGTCCGTGCGCAAAGCATTGTGGGGATTTTAAGGACGCAAAGTCTACCCATGCGCAGCCACAAAATTTCCCCCAAACCAAGGACGCGGCCTCGGTGGAATCCCAAGTATGCTGGAGATTGGAACAGTCCTTCGGCGGCACTCGATGACGTAGCATCCTTGAAATATTGGCTTTGAAGCCAGAATCCTCGAGATTGAGAAACGGCCAGTGATTGCTTCCGTCCCAAAACACCTGCACCTGATCACCCAGTGATTACATTTATACACACACACACAAGTGAATACTCCATCTTGTGTAGAAAGTTGGAACTGCATCATTAATTAAACAGATAAAATACAAACAAAGACACATGCATTATGGCTCCAACAGCGCGATTCCTCTGGGTATTTGTTTGTTATTATGCAGTGCTTTCTAACCTCTTCTAGTTCTACAAAACTTTTTCTAGGACTCAATGAGTTATTTAGTTTGCGGTCCTCAAGCTGCTTCTGAGACAGTCGAACATTCCTGCTTGACCACAAAGGCATACACACCTCCCAAAGGGCCACAGGGGCCAATCATTCTAAACCTAGAAGCTACAAAAACAGAAGGAATGTCGACGTGATGCAAATAACTGATGAACAGACTGAAAGAAGCAGCCGTCAATCATAGAGACAGTGTATGAGAACAGAGGAATAACTAGCTCTGCTGTCTGTCTGTGTCTCCTTCCCTTTCTGTTTTTCTGTCCCATAGGAGTTCGACAAGGCGGCGTCACGGCAGGTACAGCAGATGTTTGAGGAGATCGACAAAGAGCTGTACGAGGGGAGAGGCAGCGGGGGGGGGATACTCCAGGGGCTGCAGGAGGAATGCCAGCAGTGGGCCACACGGTTCCCACATCTTCGGTATCCTATCCTTGAGCCTTTACTTTGCAGTGGTAGTGTGATCAGAGATGAATGTCGATAGCGGAGACAAAGCGTCATTGTTTTACTGAAATATTCATTGTGTGTGTCACTCAGGATCCTGGGGTCTCAGCTGATGTGTCCCAGTGATGAGGGCTTCCAGTGGTACGCTGTTTCAGGGAAAGGCAGCTCCGCCAGCAGCACATCAGTCGGCAAAGAGAGCGGTGTGAAGTCCCAGGAGAAAGACAAGAGTGGCGCAGAGTAAGTTGTAACTGCACTGGCTTTGAAACCTGTTAGAAACATCTCCTTAGTGTCAGGATCTACTGTCTGTGCTTCATTACCTAAAACAATGTGTCAGAAATGTTTGCGTGACCACCTCTAGTGGCTGTTGCAAGTTGTTAAGATGCATCACTGAGTTTCACTTAAAAAAACCATTACATAAAGGAGTTTGTGTCACTGTATTTATGTCACCATTCAGTGTGTTTTAGTTTAATGTCTTGTTTGCACGTGTGTACTCTCTCTGCTGTTCAGCCTGTTGTCAACTAGGTTAGAGTTGATTTATTATTTATAGCGAACATACAGGATGTGTAGGCTTTTGTCTGTAAGCTTACCCTATTAAGGTGCTTACCTATGTGTTTTCTTGTCTTGGGCTAAAGGTTGAATGTGCAGGGCAGGAGAGCGGCGCTGGTCACGTCCTCTGCACATCTGGACGAGCCTCCTGGCACCTCCAGATGTCACGATAAGCCCAGAGTGATTGAGGTGGAGGGTCTGATGGAGGAATATCTGGCTTTTGATAGCAGGGACTTGTGAGTGGATCACTTTTATCCTACTACACAGTAATATGAATCTGAATCCCAGGTGTTCACATAATACTTTCTACTGCAGAGAGGACGAGTGGGAGAAGGACTTTTCCGAGTCAGCTCGAAGGCAACACACTCTACCCCCTGTCTCTCCTTACCGGTGTCGCCGTCAGGCCGTGCTCGACCTGCTGTTCGATGATGTGTGGCAGGAGCTGGTTGGCTGGATGAAAGAGCTGGTTTCAGCGTCACTGGGAATGCTGCACTTCAAGTAGGGCTGAGTTCATATATTTCACATGCGTTAACTTAAACTGTTCTTGCCTACCGTATTTGGAAGTGGTTTTTATTTGTGATTGGCAGATGATGAAATGATTTCCGGGATGTTAAGCCCCGTGCAGCCAGACTCCCAGAATCCCTTCATGCTGCTCTCCATGCTGCCCACGATGCTGCCCAAACTGGGTCAGAGCAGGGTGCCCCCGCTCACAGCTGGCCTGCAGTACCAGGTCAGTGATATACAAGGGAGGGGGGTGGTGAGAGGCAGCAGGGGGCGTCTGGGGCGTTAGACAGGGAGAATAATTTCCCTTTCATCACTGTCTGCATTTTCAGGAGGTCAATTCAAATGTATTGAAATGTCATCCATTAGATGCAATGAAACACATTTAATAATGATAACAGGAAATATACATAGGTTTATAAGATGGAACTCACATTGTGTGTTCAAACCAAAGTTTGCATTTTATCTTGAGTTCACTCCTGTAATATATAACATGAGAAGAAAATGCTGTTTGTAGTAAAAGACATGTCTTATATAAACCATTTTTCATCTTTTCTACCTGTGAGGTGTTAGCAGGCTGTACGTGTTTCAACTGTCCACAAATGATTCAGATCTTTTTCACTCCTGCCTGTTGCAGTCTTCCAATGCTTCCAGTTCATTAACCTGTATCACTGTTTTCTCTCCTTCTCTCTTTGCTCTCTGCCCTTCACCTTGCCAATGTGCTTTGTGTACCCTTTGATTCTTTTCTCTTTGTTTCCCTTTCCTTTTTCTTCCTGTCTTTATGTATCCACTCTTCTACCTTTGTTCCTTCTATATCCACTGTCTTCCTTCGGTCACAACTTTTTCCCTTTTTAAGAGCACAAAGTCAAGGGGCTCAAAGCACATGTCCAGACGAAAATCCAAAAAGCAGAAAAGGCCCTCCGCTGTATGTAACACCCTCACTTCCAGCCAGATTGGTGGCACGTTATTTGTATCTCTAGATGAAATGTGCTTGTTCCTGTTGATTAACCACCGTTTATCTTGATTAACTGCAACATACGTTATTTATTTTCTTCCACTAAAAAAACTAACCATGTAGCCACTGGCTTGAAAAAAATATAATTTGTATTTGACCTGCATTTTCTTCTATATGATGTCCTTACCTCTCTCTAAATGATTCCTTTACTTTTTCCTTTTATCCCTGTCCTGCCACCCCCTCTCCCCCCACACTGTTTCCACAGACTGGGAGGGTGGCAGCAGCAGCGACCCAGCACAACCTGAATGACCTCATCGTGATCCACAGCATCCCACTGCAGCAGAGGAACCTCAGTGTGCTGGAGAGAAACCAGTATGCACACATTTTACCCTTTTATTCAATGATACCGAAATGTACATTTATTTCTAAAATCAATGACACATTCTTCTCACATTTGTAAATTCATACTACCTTTTAATATTTATTTGGAAATGGAATGTGGCATTTATGTCTTATAGTTGTTGTTTTCCATTCACATCGATACACATTATAGAAGGACATAGCCTCACTTGAGCCATGTTTTTGCCCCTGTTCTGAACATCCTGTTTGGAAAGAGTACAGTGAGTTGGCAGCATGATGTATCTCCTCCCCCCCCCCACAGGGAGCCAGAGGAGCGGGCCCCTCACAGACCGGGCTCCAGCGTGGTCCCCTCCAGCAAACCTCGCCTCCGCCGGGCCCTGGAGCAGAGCTCGTCCTCGCTGTCCCGCCCGGCACAGTCTGCCCGGCGCAGAAACCCTCCCCCCCCGAACCCTCCTGCCGCTGGTTCCCAGCCTGAGTCAGTCGTGCGCGGCGGGATCCATGGATGAGGTCATCCGCGGGACACGACTGTGAGTAGAGGCATCATGGGAACCCCGCCAGCCCCACCCTGACTCCTATCTAGCTTTTGAGTCTCTTTCTCCTCTACGGTAACTGAAGGGGTGCAGAGGCAGATTACTTTGAAAACAGACTCCCTTTTAACTTGAGCCTTATGGCTCTGCAGGAGAATAATGGGATAGGAGGGAGGTAGATGGAAGCAGATAGGCTGACAGAAGTTTTATGTGTGATGCTAACTTCACAGCTGAACTTGTTATGAACCTGAAAGTGTTTTTGTGTTAACTGTGCCACATACTTTTCCTTCACACAGAATGTCAATGCTTCTGCAAAATTCAGCAACTACCCTAATGTTAACTCAGTGAGCACATTTATTACATTATTAGTACACTCAATTGTACAAGTATGAAAGTAGCATCTTCTCATCTAACTTTCTACAATAAAGTCAATTAGTGAATTTCCAAAATACTAAACTATTCCTTTTTGTATCATATTTCTGTTTCTGTAGCATCTGTAACTGGGGGAGTTCAACATGTTACTGCGCTGTGGCAAAATAATTCATTACAGCACTAAAGAACAAACATTATCTATATTTATAAAATCACATGTGTTCTTTATTTATCAACATTATCACAACAAGTAAAGTTCTAACTTAGCATTCATACTGACACCTAAGCTGTGAATATGAACAACTCCTACGGCCTTTTCACAAAGAAGTACATGTTTGTGTCATCGACGCAGCGAAGAACAATCTGTCCATTGTTATTGTCATTGGTCCACAGACCCACAGCCAGCGACCGCCTGACCTCCCCGCTGCTTACCCCTCTCAGCAGGAACACACTTCTTCCCCCCATCAGCACTGGAGAGCCTGAGTCTTCTCACTCAGGGCAGCAGTCCAAACATGCACAGGTGAGGACAGAAACACCCACTCACAAAGAGAAATGTGTTAAATCGCTGAATTGAAACACAGATTAGGTTCTTATAAATCGACCAGTTAAACAAGCGTATTGTAGCATCTATCACAGTGCACCATATGTGACCAACTTTTTAAAGACTATATTTATCCTTTATTTGACCAGCGTCAGAAAGGCCTAGCCAGCCGCGCCCACAGTGCTATAAATGACGAAGCTGGCAGTTCAATACCGAGGGATCGTCACCACCTGCTGGACGTCTTCTCTCGCCCCAACACCACTCACACTTACAGGGTGAGAGGCTCTTTTTCAAAACACACGCCCATGCTCTATGATTTAGTTTCTTTCTAGAGTGACATTTTTTTTTATTGTGTCCTATGAAGAAGGGTGTTTAATACATTTATGTTCTGTATTTAGTTGTCAATAGAGAGGTCATTTTTAGTGCTTTGAGTATCAAAGATAGTGCTTTTAAGTTTGAACCCATGTATTTTTTTTTCAGTCGGACACTCCATACCGGCGTTCCTTCACAGTATTGGACAATATCGGGCAGGGGCGGACAGGCAGAGCTTCTGTGGCCACAGGTCAGAAATGTAACTTGAATAGTATATATATATATATGTATATAAAAATAAGAAAATGCTCCTGGTAAAAAATAATGTGTGAATGTTGTATGCTACAGTGTCTTCCAACCCTTTTTATCTGACTATCCGCCACCACAACTAATGTTCATGTTAAAATTGTATTCTAGCTATCAGCTTCAAGTGTTTATCTATAATGCTTTTAGCCTATTGCAACTATGTATGCACTACTTTAAGCTAAATGTGTCAACCTTTATCCATAGCTTAACATTTCAACTATTTACCCATATTTTTAATGTTTATCCCCTAGTTTCACTTATACTTAAGCAATAGCTCACGACAGGCCGTGGTATATGGTCATTATATCACAGCTAAGGGGCGTGGTTCGGCCCGACGCAAAGCTTTGTTAGTTTCGTAACGGACGTAATGTAACGGTTGTAGCTTTTCTCAGAGGCGGAGGGATACATGACTTGTGAAAAGTAACTACAATTCTACCCGTGATATACGCTCATTATACCACGGCCAAGAACCAATCAGATTGCTTGATTTGACTTGTCCGTTTTATAATGAATAGTTAGATCTTCCATCAACCTGTTTTGTCACTCTTAATGCTCTGCCTGTACTTTTTCTGTACATGGCCAGTGCCTGTGTAGTAAGAAATATGTATTTTGGATTAAATCAATTGATAACTTATGCATTAAATTATTCATTCATTCCACCAGACTCACTTGGAATCGGCGTGACCGGCGTCAGTCTTGGCATCAGCAGCTCATCTTTCTTGGACTCGTTTTCCCACCACCCCTTGGGGCACTTGCCCATCAAAGACGAAGAGGAGCCAGACCCACAAGCCCCCGTCCCAGGTCGGTAGATTAAAGCAGAGGAACCTTCCAGAGTTCAGTATCTTTCTTAACTTGAGATGTTTCCCTTCCTCTACCCCGCAGCGCCTCTGATGCCTGTGTCCGTCCCGCCTCGGTCTTACACCAGGGGGGGCGTCTCATCCCGAGCCAGCAGACCCGGTTTGTAGTTCGCCTCCAGACCCTTCAGCCATGGATCTTTACTCAACACTCGGTGACCACTAAACTTTTTTTTTTTACAGAAGTAGCAGAATTTTTATTTCACATAATGCTGCTTGATTAAGATTTTGTTAAGAGGCCTATTTTTGTATTTCAGGAATCAGCTTATGTGGCTGCCAAACACACAGTAACATCGTATTGTACAGTATGAGGGGGATGCGTGGATATTTGTATGTATGATCTGAATGTGTATATATTTATTTAAATGTGAATGTTGAGTTAATAATCCTCCATGGTGTGTTGTTTTACTGGTAAATGACTATGCAGGGAATAACACATTCACGCAGACAGGGATATAGAGTGCCAGAGCGACGCGTCCTAAAACCCGGAAGTAAACTCCTTCCGGTTCCTTCGACAAAAAACAATGCAAACCGTGATCTGTCTCTTCAATGTGTGTCAACCACAGACATCATTTCGAGGTATTTTTCTAAATCCTATGGAGAAATTGCATTGGTTTTTGTGGAAGGAACCGGAAGTGGTCAAATGCTAACTTACTTCTGGGTTTTAGGATGCGTCACTGTGGCACCCTAGAGGATACAAATTAAAAAGCACTTTTCTCTCTCTGATGCAACATCAGAGTTTAGTACTGTATCTTTTATAAGGACAACATTTTCAACCGCCTTGTGCAACAAAAAAAAAACTTGCGTACACAAACAAGAAATGCCATCTTGACTTTTTCTTGCCTTTCCCTCCATTGAAGCGTTTCCATTGAACATCTCTGCAGCTCACATGCTTTACCTACTACTAGGGCTGCTCAATTAATCACAATTACGATTTTGGCTTGCAACGATTACGAGAACAACGTAATCGAAATAAAACGATATACTTGATTTTTTTTTCAATAAATCGATGTTTTCAAAGTAAATGGATAATGAGGCGTGTGGTGCAGTGGGTTGTGCGTTGGTTTTCAGAATCAGGGGGTCACAGGTTCAAACCCCACTGCTGTCAGCATGTCGTTGTGTCCCTGAGACACTTCACCCCAAATTGCTCCTGTGGGGATTGCCCTCAGTATTGAGTATGTAAGTCGCTTTGGATAAAAGCGTCTAACAAGTGACATGTAATGCATAATCGTGAAATCAATTATTGACCCAAATAATCGAGATTATGATTTTTGCCATAATCGAGCAGCCCTACCTACTACAATATAATGTAGGAATACAAGAGGCAGGTATAAGGAACTATGTAAATAACTAAAGGATTCAATCATGTCTAAAGTACATTTTCATCCCCTGAGCAAAGAGACGCTTTGACGGGTATCGTCAGGGTTACTGCACAAAGGTTAGTTTCCCCTTCATTAGTTATTAAAATAATTTATCGGACAGCCATGCAACACGAGTGACAACTTGAAAATCAAAACTTTTCTTGGATGCATTTTCTTTGATTCTATTTTATACACAAATAAAAAATCTGTACAAACGATGTATATAAATATGAATTTATTTGTGTTTTATGAAGATTTTGACAAACATGACAAGAAATTAAGGTTGCATTTACATTTTGATAAGGGTCACTTTAAATTTGAATTACAACATAGAAAGGCTAGATAAAGGACAAGACGGGAACCGCTCAACAGCAGCCGATCAGACATGCACTTGGACACTTATTAATATAAAAGGGTGTATTATAGACTGCTGCTTTTTATCTTAATACTCTCTACAATAACCACAGCTGCCTGCTTTTCACTTTTTTGATTTCTTTCCTTTTTGGGGCTCACTTTTTTTGGAGTATTTTGTTTCAAGGTCAGACAGGAAACTGTTGAAATTCTGCTCTCTGGACTTCTGTTTTTGCTGGAAAGAAATAATGAAAAGATGGTTATTAAAAGAAAGAAAAACAACCCGCAAAAAACTATTTCATACACGCGCTTATGCAACTATTACCTGAAGCATCATCACAAGACTGTCATCCTCATCGCCGAGGCCCATCTCTTTCTGCATTTCTTCTGCTTCCTGTCGTTCCTTATTAGCCTGGAAGGTCAATTGCAATAAACTGAGTTTACGTCATAAGTGGAAATGTGGTAGCATCTTCCCGTTTGCAACACTAACTAAACAAATCTAGACATTAATAGAATATGAGCTGTGAGGATTTAGCGGCTCTACCGCCAACACATTTCTCACCCTCTTCCTACGAGCCTTCTTCTTCTTATCACTCTCCTTCGTGAATGCTGGAAACGATTGGACTTCTTCGCTATCGATGGCCGCCTGGATGATGCCGCAGAGCCGGGGCTCATCCTCCTGAGAGCAGCACATGGCCGAGGCTGTGATGACGTCCATGTTTCCCTGGTGCTGCACATACAGCTGGATCACATCCTTCCGCTCCTCATCAGAGCCCTTGTATTTATTCTCAAACTCGAGGATGTCCTGTACTGTAATCTAGGAGATGGAGAGAAACAACACAAAGGTTGCTTCACAAGGCAATACATTTATATTATGTGCAAAGCTGCTAGAAATAAACCAGCAGAAAATATTAGGTGTGCAATATTCCACCATTATCCCTGGGTACAATGACGTAGGTTTTTAATTTGTTGTTCCATGGAAGGTGCAGTGACACATCCCCATCTTCTGTTTATCAACTAAAATAAAACTCCTGTAATAGCCGTGACTCACTCCAGATCTCACATCACATGTATAACACAAAGCAATGTGTGTGACTCATTATTAAGTCACTTTAATACCAATAAAGAAAACACCTGTTGTGATGCCGTACCTTGGGGAAGAGCAGTCTCCAGTAATCTTCCCAGCAGCGGTCTTGACTCAGGGCGTCAGACTCTTCATCGACCACCCCCTGCTCATCGTAAACAGCTCTCTGCTCCGTATCGCTCAGCACAGCGTACAGCTTCCCCAACACCTGCAGTCAGATGAGCCTTGATCATACACACAACACTGTACTATTACCATAACCCTAAAGATTTTACAAGTAATATAAAATAGGATGGGGAGGTTGAAGTGAACTATTGATATTATCAGCTTTAAAAAGCCATATCTATATAAGGTTTAATATATATGACAATACAACAAGGCAAAGTTAAAGGGAACCTATTATGCAACATGCACTTTTTCATGTCTTTTATACTTAAACAAGATTAAAAAAGATTCTCTCTCTTTTTGTCCTGATCCATTTATATAAAACCTGTCTGAAAATGAGCTGATCAGATTTTGGCCACTTTATGATGTCATAACGATTTTTTTGGCTTGTGTACCCATTAGCCAATCACCAACCAAGGTAACCACCCCCCACCTTATCACCTGAATCTCCTCCTAGAGCACCAATAGCCTCTTTCACACCAAGTACTTTGCCGCATTTATGGCACATTTCCACTGCAGCGGGGTAGCCCCGTTTAAGCGTCCCTAAGCGTCCTCGCTCAGGCCTCGGGCTGCCTCGCTGGCCGTCCGAGGCCGTGGCGCATTTCCATTACAGTTTAGGACCTGGGGTAGCAACGCAGTGTAGGCGGGGCGATCAGCTTTTTGGGCGGAGCGACGCTGGGTAAAACGGCAGTGGCGCCATCTTGAATGTGACAACTCACAAAACACACACAACAATGGAGGATGTGGAAGCGATCGTTTACTTGTTTCTTGGTGTGTGGCTTGTTTCTAGATATATATGCGACGCTAGGGCGGATGATCTCGCGCGCGATCTTGTGACGATTCTCTCTGACCAATCAGCAGTCGAGAGTGTTGACGTCACTAGTTCAGCCCTGGCCTGATAGAACCACGATTTTATGGGGCCGGAAAAAGAGGGAAAAAGTACCCGCTAGCCGGTGCTACGCTATATGGAAAGGCCACCAAGAACTGGCCTGGCCGCTTGAGGACGATTAAGGACGCTTAAACGGGGCTACCCGCTGCAGTGGAAATGCGCCATTAGTTCCCAGCACTTAGTTCCCCCATGGAACTAAAGAGCAGATCGAGTTCACACCGGAATAAGTTCCCTGAGGGAAGATTACGCAAATGAAGCCGCTGACGTCACTTCTTCTTCTTTCGGTTTACTGGCAGGCCGCAAACAACTTCACGGCGTATACTGCCACCTGAAGTCCCCGGCCGGAAGTCCCCGGCCAGAGTAAATCGCCAGAAGCGCCGACACCTCCTCATCACTCCACCGCTCCCATGTTTTCTTTTGTGTTGCCATAAGTTAGTCTCTCTTTGTTTTTGTGCTGGGCTAATGCTAATAATGCTAATGCCAGCAAATACAATGGCGGCTTCACAACACTTTTCAGAGTTTAATGGGGTGTGGTTTGCAATTTGCCCAGCCAATCAGAAATTGGAACTTTTTCTCCCCAGGAAAGTACCTGCTGAAAAGGGGGGAAAAGTTCTCATGAACTAAGTTCTCTTTTTGGTGTGAACGCAAAATCCCAGGAACTATCGGAACTAAAAGGGAAAAGTACGGGGAAAAGTACTCCGGTGTGAAAGCGCCTTTTGTGTTATTTTTAACCAAATATCTCTCAGAGGGGCGTGGGGAGTGGCTCCTTATTTTCCTCTAAAGTAACAGACAGAGAATTAGCACTTTTTAAACAGGGCTGAAACAGAAGGGATTATGGGATGCTAGTGCTACAATGATCTATTTGGTATTTCGAGCCAAACACTTCAGAGACATGTTTTGTATATATCTGAGACCTATAATATATTGATGAAAAACAGTATAATAGGGGACCTTTACAAATATAAAGATTTAGCTGTATCTGTAATACAGTGGAAGCCATTTCTTTCATTTCTAAGGTTGTATGTTTAGCCATTGTGGCCCTTTGTCCCTGGAACAGTCTGCTTGAGGATCTGAGGGAATTTATTTTTAAAGAAACCATAACTTTTTACTCTTGCTTTAATAAGGTCAACTAATCAACTACTAGGTATCTTTTTTTCTATCCAAGTGACTTTAACTTTATAATTTGTATTCTTGCTTAATTATTTATACAATTTTTTGCCAGTGTTATTTAAAATGTATTTAATGAGACAGGCAATTCTAACTGGATTTTATGTTCATGCATACAGCTTTTAAACTGCGTTTTGAAAAAGTTACACCACTTAAGTATATATACTTTTCGTTTACTGCCATCAAGCACTGGAATACTCTTCCAGTTGAACTTAAAACCTGTACTGACTTTAACTCGTTTTCCTATGGTGCAAAAAAAAAAATGATATTAAGCAACCAGTCATGACAACATTAATTACACTGTAATCTTTTTTTAAATTTGAACTATATTGTCATACTATATCTTAGATATTTTATTTAAGTGTATTTGAAGGGTACTAAGTATTATGTTCGTAACCTGTATTTAAATCAGGCTTTGTAATTATTTGAGTGACTGAGATCATGTAAGTGTATTTCAAGTGTAGGCCTACTATGTATTAATTTATTGAGCTGTACTTAAATCAGGTTTTAAAATTGTTTGACTGATAGAGATCATGCAATGTTATTATTTGTTTATTGATTGTTATGAACCTGTCTGAGGACCACAGATGGAAATGAGCTATTAGCTATAATCTAGCATATTGCATCTCTTCTCTTTGCTGAGATTAATGTTTTTGTGTGCATGGTCCTTCTATAGATAAATACAAACTTTACAGCATAATATAGCAAGATTGTGATGTAAAATTACATTTAGTATTTGATCCAATTCGCTATCCAGTAATGTAACTATTGTTGAAATCAGATTTAGGACCATTGTGGTGTTTTTACCGAAGAGTAAACAGCTGGAAAACCGGAAGGTCCTTCATAATATACAGGCATACATGACTAGTCTATTTTGCACCTAGCTACAAGTAAACCAAAGCTCTTACATAAACGCACTTAATCAATGTATCAGTCGGAATACGATCTCCAAAACCTCCATGCTTCTCTACAAATAGCACAAACGCATGACTAAGTCTATATATTATAATCGGCATCAAGCTAGTTATTGTACATAAAGGGAGTTAGCTAAAGTAAATTAAATTAGCTGTTAGCTCGCTAGTGACGCTAACATGTGTTCATAGTGTCTGACAGCCAACATCCAGGAGAGTTAACCTGAAATTTCTCCGTGGCCAGCGGGTCTTCAGGAGCCCGATCCGGGTGGACTTTCAGCGACACTTTGTAGTAGCTCCTGCGAATCTCCTTCTCGCGTGCCTCCTTGTTGATGCCCAGCACCTCGTACAGGTTGGAGGACTTGAACAGCTCCTCGCACCGCTCGAGCAAACCCATCCTGACAACTTGGTCTGAGAACGTTAATCCGGTAAAGTATATACTAGTCTAAAGGGTCTCTACGATGTTTTACAGTTTATTTCTATGTTAAACGAGTCGTATTTTCTTCTGCCTTCCCTTTGTTTGCCTATCAATTTGGCGCGCTGGCCTGTCACATTCAGCCGTACGCACAGCGACGTGCTTACGTAACGACCACAGACGGCCTCTCATTGGTTCCCATGATCAGACTCGTCAGACTATGTAATGAGGATTCATTATCACAGATTTTCCTTCAAATATGAATGAAAAACGAATTATTACTTTACAACAGATAAAGGTAGGCTTCTGGGAAAAAATGATTTACCTTCGTGAAGATAGTATTTATTTGTATAAATATATAGACATACAAATGAATATGATCTGCCATTTATCAGGTCAGGTGTCAACAAGTTTAACAAAACCTGACATGAATACAAGCCTCTAGAGTAGACACTACAACATCAATATGGATTATTAATTAATTTGAATTAAATTGAATATATATTTACACTATCATGACTATTTACTGACATACTGACATTATGTACTTGAAGTATCAATAATTCTAAATTATTGTGATTATTAAAGCGTGTGAATGTCCGAGGTAATATCTGATCTGTCTCATTCAGCCTTTATGTTGCTACTTGGTAAAAATAAACAAGTTATTACTTGAAAGATGTTTCTTTAAGAAAGATAATAACCTCGCAAGGCAGGCTACTACTAGGGTTACCATGATGGAAACAATATTAAAGTGTCCCTTTCCTTCAACTTTTGAATTAAATGGCATATATTGGTAAGGCACTAAGTTTCCCGGATCTATTACAGTAAGCTTTTAGAAATCAATTTGGTAAAATAATCAAATTTATAAATGAATTATACATTTATAATAAGTCTTATTTGCATACATGCAGCACTCAGTCAAGGACATACAGATACTGTAGTATTTATTGGTGCGTTTGAAGCAGCACAAGAATACATCAAAGACAATGAGGCAAGTCACTAAGTATTTTTCACTGCTTCATGCGAAAGCAGAACACAAGATACACACTGACTTTGAACTAAGCATCTGTAGATTGCACCCATCTGTGTTTATAAGCCTGTACAATATGCAGCACTGAAGATATACGCTGCAAACCCCCGTCTCAGATGTTATCCAATTACTGCCCCATCTGTTTCTGTTGCATATTTGGCACAGTCTCTGTTGTTGTTTTTATATTGACTTTCTGTCATCAACAAACTCATTTGTCCTTTGTACTACGACACAAAATAAGCACTTGGACAACTGGCACATCATAATCATGATAAACAATGAAAAACAAAATGACAAGAGCCCAAGAGTTGTATTGTAAATGTTATGAACTTTTGCTGGTGTGCAGATCCTTCTCATATGTTTCCATCCACTTGCATTGATAGTGCAAGTGGAGTTTGAATAAAACCATTTCTCCTCCAGGGGGAATGTTTCCTTGTTATGGCTACAGTCTCTCCACAACAGTCCAATGGCTTTGTTCTCATGGTCAGTCTTTGCAGCATGTCCATGGCCGATGCATTTTCCCCTAAAGTGGGACAGTCTTAAAATCTCCTGTAGGGGGCGGCAGCTCAGCACTCCTTTCTGGTCTTCAACATCTTGCTGGCATACTTGATAGGGATCCCCCAGCGTCTCATTAGATAGACATCAAACACATAGGCCATCCCTGGCTCCAGGCCCCCGATCACAGCAGTAGTGACGGCCCGCCGAGGATTCAGCTCCTGGAAATACTTGCAGAGAACCCTCTCGGTGTCAGAGCGGGACTCTGGTCCCAGACAGGGCGAAGTTAGAGCAGACGCTCCCCCTGCTTCTGCTCCATGCTCGCCCAGCTTCCTGCGGTACACACAGTACAAGCTTCTTTCCTCTGTGCCCATCCACGCTAGGGTGACGCTGTTGCAACCACGTAACCTGTTGAAGGACTTTATCTGCAAGGTGGAGGGTAGAGATGGGACCCCTCTCCGGTGGTAGGCTGAGGAGGTCTGCATTTTCACTGAAGCCATCAGACCTCCCAAAGTTGGGTCAGCAGCATCAGACATCCTGCTTGGGGTAGTTCCTTCTCTCTCCAAGTGGATGAGATAGGACGGACTTCCCTGGAGCCAAATGTGTGCTAAATCTCCCCCGACAGCCTGGGAGCTCAAAACCTGACCTTTACTTGACACAGTGACCTTGACTTTTTCCCCTCCGCCGCAGCTCTGCAAAGTGAGGAGGCCACTCTGCTGAATGCCCCGTGGACGGAAAGTGAAGAACTGCTCGGAGTTGGAGCCTCTGTCGCTGAAGGTCACCCACCTCAGCTCTCCTTCTCTCAGAGTGACGATCGCAGCCCGAGCCTCCTCATGCGTTCGAGCAAATGTCCCCTTGTACGCCATGCTGGTCCCATTCAGCCTGTCGATCACAAACACGTCAAAGTAATACTGCGTCTCTGGCAGGAGCTCAGAGACGGTGCAAACGCTCTCTGTCCCCTGACACACACACTGGAGATCAGAGTACTCATCAGTGGGGGAAGACGCTGCACTCTGGGCTTCTGGGTAAGAGTCCCACTGCTGCCACCACCACTCTTTCAAAATGGGCCATGCTGTCACTCTCCTCCTCCTCTCCTTCTTTTCTTCTTTTTGGTCGTTTTTTTTCCCTATTTTCTCTCGTGCAGCGCAAACACTGGGGTAGTTTTTCTGAGAGTTGGCGAGGACACAGTAATCGTAGCTTTTCTGTGACTGAGGGAGGCTGGTGATGGAGGCACTGGGCGCCCAGCTGAGGGTGACACTGGTCATGCCTACACCCAGAGTGTGAACTCTGTGGTCAGCTGGGAGCAGGGGGAAGGCTCCGGAGGGCCCCGGGCCTTCATGGAGGTACACTGTAGCTCTGGTGTTCTGCTGTTTGGAGCGCAGCCTCAGGATGTAGATGGTGGCATGGGATTTGGAAAGACCCTTGTAGGTGTCAACTGCACTGCCTGTGAAGCTGTACATTTTCTCCTCACTCCCCAGACCTTGCCACCACACCTCGGGCGTACTCTTTTTGCTGCTCCCTGTGAGGAAATACAATAAAAAGCAAAATCCATTGTTACTTCACTTGGATGTTTGTGTATGTGTTACTCAGTTCAGAATTAAGTTGATGCAATGCTATTAAGTGAGCAGCAATTGTAATGTACACACACATACCTGACTACAGAAACTCTCTCTCTCCTCTGTATGGTCAATGTCATCATGCCATTACATTGAATTGTGTGGATTTCCCTACAATTATTATTTATTGCAAGGCACAATGCACCAATCAGTAAGTGAAAAGGTACATACCCATCAGTTTTGTCATGTTTCAATTTAAGAATTAAGTGCCAAAATAATGTGGTTATGTGTAGGAGAAAGATCATGGTGATATTTAATGTGCTTTTGTCATTCGAATAAGGTGCTCAGCAGTAGCACAGTTATACAAACTGTACATATATGTAGGTGTACACACAGTTTTTCACTTTAACAAAGGATTCTGGGGGTTGCAGCAAACACACACACTGCAAATTGAATGGAACAAGAACAACAGAACAACTCATCGATGAACCAAAACAAATAATGACACAATGTCAATTGCCTCTTCACAGTCACTCTTCACTATAGTGTACGACACAACTGGCCACAAAAACCCGCCACCACTTGTCTTCACTGTTCATCACTTTTCAAATGAGACCAAATGTTACAGAATCAAAGTGAATAATTCAGGCTGGCATGGGGACCCACAAGCTCAGGAACTGAATGATTCATGTGTCATTTTATAACTTCATTATTTTACCATGTAGAGAAGCTTGTTTAGTTAGCCAGGAGAAACACCCACAGAACACTCTGAGGCACATTTTCTTTTCCAGAAATCTTTTTGAAGTCAGAAATACTATTACTTTGATTTACTTGGTGCACTTATTGCCATGACTTAACTTTTAAGCCATTTTGTAATTCGTTTTTTTTTTTTTACAGTTTATTCAACATTGGGATCAATGGGTAGGCAATGCTTTTTGGTTGATGGGAGTGTTTTAAAGAGATTTTTAAATCCAAAGCCTCATATAAAATGTATGGGAGTGTGACAACCGTATGTGATTACACTCACTCTCTCTTTCCATATAAGAGATATTGTGGCCTTTCAAAGAATATATAGCATTCAACTTGGGTGCAATGCTGATAAGATGTAGAAAATAAGCTTATCCACCTGAGAGTTTGTGACAGTGACAATTGGAGGCAGTCGCTTTTTTCAAAATACAAATGCCTCATCAGTGATATGAATCAGTTTATTGATCTATAAGCGGGACATAACAGTAAATAAAGCTGTTAAACAAGCAATGCAAAGACTTCACACTATGCCATATGATGTTCCAAAACTATTTTCTACAAACTCGCATTAAGCAAGATTAGAGTATTTGCCCTCTACTAAATCCCCATCTGTTTGATAGTACAGATAATATCTAATTGATGGTTTTGTCTAAGCCGGATGCAGGGTAACGTGTCTGAAGGTAGGGGTCTTACGGCTCACTCACACTCCAGGCTCTTGAGGGGTTTGTCCTTCAGGGTCCGTGCTGAAAGGCTCCATTCGATGGGGAGGTCACAGGGACTGACAGTCACCGACATCCCCGGAGCCTTCTTCTTCAGCGTGAAGTATAGCCTGTGGAGAAACACCACAAATCACAGGAAGAAGTTGTTTGATTCATCACCGCGAATGTCAAAAAGATAACATCTTGTTTCCATTCAGCTGCGAGGTGATGGATGTAGAAGAAAATATATCTTTCAGTGCCGATTGTGCCGCCTTCCTTCGGTTCAATGGATGATTTGCAGATACAATGGGCTGGTTAAAATGTTCTTTTTTACAGAAAGCGTAACATTTTTCAACGTGGCTGATGTTGCCAGTCTTTCTATTTGCCTACATGCTGATCAGTCATTTGATAGCAGATCAGGAGAGGTGACCTGGGATCAGTTGATAAGGCTGCATTGACAGTTTCAGATGAATATCTGCCGTGTGCTGTATCTATCTGGGATCGTGCTTAGCATAGAAACTATTACATCCCTTATTGTGATCAGATGTTTTAGGGACAGTGTTTGTGCATGCTGTATTACAGATTTGCATCTCAGATGGCAGTTTGAGGACATTTACCAGTCTCACTC